ATCCAAGTGGGGGGGTGTATTGGTTGACCTGATGGATAGAGCTTCATCAGAGCTAAACAATCAAAGAAAATCTGAAGATTCTATGTTTAATAGTTTTTGAGCTATAATCATTTTTGTATGTCCAGATACCCCTTTTTCAGATAAATTGGGGGTCCGGGGGGGTGGGAGGCACTGGTCTGTGGACCTGATGTATAGAGCTTCATCAGAGCTAAACAAACAAAAGAAATCTGAATCTCCCATGTTGAACAGTTTCTGAGTCATAAGCATCTTTGCATGTCCTGATACCCCCACTTTGAAAGGAGCCCCCTCCTCAAATATGGGGTGTATCGTAAAACTGTTGGCTGGTGCAGTGCAGGTCAGACTCATCTACAGCCCTGCCAAATTTCATGTTGATCGGTGCAGCCGTTTTTGTGCTACGGTTGACCAAAAATCACTGAAAAAAAATAAATAAATAAACAGTACGGAAACAATATGACTCCCGCTTACGCTTCGCGTGCGGGGGTCATAATATGGACTTTCTGAATGTTTTGTTTATTGTCATTATTATAATTTTTTGTCAATCTATTCATGCTATCTAAACCAGTTTTTCTTTCTCAACAAATATCCAATTTTAGTTGAGAGGCTGCATGTATTAACAAATGTATAAAAACAGGTTATTTTTTCCTCTTCAAGCTGAACTGAGGTGGGCAAAATGTGCAGAGGCAGTCTTCTTGTCGCTTCTTGTCAGACTTGATTTTTTTGGGTGGGGATTGACTAGGGCCTCAGAGGCTTTTGGGGCCTCGGCTGAGAAAGAACAGGTGGCTGGAGGATTGAGATGAACCGAGATCTGTACGGCTGACCAGACTGTGACGTTGAGCTCTGGTGGATGCAAGAAATGTTGAAGCTTAGACAGATGAGCTCCCAGTGAATTGGATCTGCAGACAATGTGTTGTTCTAAACTTTTCAGTGGTTCTGAAAAAGTATAATGACTGTTAAAAAGACAGAAAGCATGAGGAGGAGAGCGTGTGTGTGTCTGTGTGAGACAGAGGGCCCCAGCTACAGAACAAAAGCATCTTTGTAAATGATTGAAACCACATTTTACCCCCACTCTCTCTCTCTCTCTCTCTCTCTCTCTCTCTCTCTCTCTCTCTCTCTCTCTCTCTCTCTCTCTGTTTCTGCCACACAAGGAGTCATCCTCAAGAGAAAACGACTCCTGGGCTCTCAGGGGAGGTTTCCTGCTGGCAGGAGAACTTCAAGTTACCTGAGAGACCTTAACAGCTAGATTTAAGAATCCCTTTGGCAACCAGTCACCCAGTGGGAAAGTTGTGCTATATATATATATA